CGAGACAGACTGGCCCTCGAGAGAGCTCGTGCGCGAAGGAGCGCGTCCAGTGCTCCACGGGCCCGCGAAGGGAAACATCATCGGGCGTTGTCCAAGGGAGGGGGGGGGGGGGGCGACTCACTTGGGAGGGAGGGGGAGCACATGCATCCTTCGTGCCCCCCTTTTGAGCCCCAGGAGGGGGGGAGCCCTGTGGGGCCCCTCCATGGCAAAAAAGATGCACATTTCTTCGCACACACACACACACACACACACTCCCCAATTCATCGCACCCCCCCCCCGCCAAGTCATCGCCCCTCCATTTTACGCAAAGCCCGAAAAAATCCCTGGGCGCCAACGCCTGGCTGCAGCAGCAACAACGGACCCCCGCCCCCCCTGCCCAGGCCTGTTGCAGGGCGCGCGCTCCAGCCACAGTGCTCCGCGGCCGAGTCCCGAGCCGGGGCGGCGACTGCTCCCCAGGAGGTCTCGGATAGGCCATGCGCACAAGAGTCCCCTGAGCCTCCATTGGACTGAAACTTGAACTTGTACTTGGACTGCAGCCGACCCGCATCATAAGGATGCACGATAAGGATGCAAGGGTCTTGGAAGGCCGTTTCGAAGCTTGTCGGGCGGGGCGCGGCCAGCGAAAGTGGCCAAGGATTGGCCGAGGAGGCAAGGATACAAGGGTAGCTTTAAGAAAATTGCCCATGCTTACTATGCTGGTTGACGGTACAACTCGAAGTCGATCAAGACTGGCCGGCATCTGACTGAGCGTGCACACCGAATCTACATATGAGCATCTGTACACCGTGCTGTCCTCATCACTCCTCCCTCCAATCCCCTGCCGCAGAGCGGGCGCCCTGGGCCGGGTTGCTCAAACGTGCTACACCCCCCATGGCTGTCGAGGTCGTGCGCCTTGCTTCCGTGGATGGCCGATCCCTCCTCCTCGTCCTCCTCCTCCTCCTCCTCCTCGTCCTCCTCCTCCTCCTCGTCCTCCTCGTCCTCCTCCTCCTCCTCGTCCTCCTCCGCCGCCTCATCTTCCTCCTCCTCCTCCTCCTCCTCCTCCTCCTCTCCTCCTCCTCCTCCTCTCCTCCTCCTCCTCCTCTCTCATCATCATCATCATCATCATCATCATCATCATCATCATCATCAGCATCATCATCATCATCATCATCATCATCATCATCTCATCATCATCATCATCATCATCATCATCATCATCATCATCATCATCATCATCATCATCATCATCATCATCATCATCATCATCATCATCATCTAATCATCATCATCATCATCATCATCATCATCATCATCAGCATCATCATCATCAGCATCATCATCATCATCATCATCATCATCATCATCATCATCATCATCATCATCTTCATCCTCCTCCTCCTCCTCCTCCTCGTCCTCCTCCCAATCGCTACGCGATCATGCAGAATCTCCAGAATCTCCTCGTCCTCCTCCTCCTCCCTCGACCCTGCAGGGAGGTGTGAATCTTGGCGCAGGGGGACTCCAGAGCAGCGAGCGGGCCCCGCCTTGACGCAGTTCACTCTCAGGTCCGCAAAGACCTCGCGAGCTCGCGAGCAGATGGCGGGCCCGCTGGTATCATATCGATGAATCTATATATATAGATATATATATACACGTATAAGTATAAGCATGTCTCTATCTCTCTTTCTCTACCTCGCCCTCTCTCTCTCTCTGTCTCTGTCCATCTCCCTCTCGCTCGCTCTCTCTATCTCTCTCTCTCTCTCTCTGTCTCTCTGTCTCTCTGTGTCTCTCTCTCTCTCTCTTTCTCTCTTTTGTTCGCCCTCTCGTTCTCTCTCCTCACTCTGTCTCTCTCGCCCTCTCACTCACCCACTCACTCACTCACGCTATTTCTCTCTCTCTCTCTCTCTCTCTCTCTCTCTCTCTCTCTCTCTCTACATATATATACACATATCTGTACATGCACATATGTATAAATAATTGTATGTACCGATAAACCTATACGACCACCCCTGGGGTGATAAGGAGGTTCAGTGGGAACCAATATCTCTCCCAACACATGTCATGATCGATCTCACGATCGAACTCACTGTCGATCACACTATCCATCTCACTGCCGATCTCACGATCGATAACAACAGTAATATCACGCACGACCTCACTATCGATCTCACTCGATCGATATCACGATCGATCTCATAATCGAGACCACTATCGATGTCACTATCCCTCGCTCTATCGATCTCGCTATCCATCTCACCGTCGATCAGACCATTGTTCTCACTATCCGTCTCACTCTCGATCTCAAAATCGACCTCACGATCGATCTCACTATCGATCTCACTATCGATCACACCGACGGGACACCGACGGGACGCCGACGGGACACCGACGGGACACCGACGGGACACCAGCGGTCCTCGGGAGTGCCAGCCCGACTTGTTCGGGGGCCTCGGGCGCGTGACCGCGGGCCCCAACCTCCCAACATGCTCGGATTGGATGCTCATTCTGGGAACCTTCCTGGAGACAGCCGATGAAGTCCAGATGATTGTTTCTCACAGGCAAGGGTGCATGATCGAGGGAGCCCACTCGAGTGTGCGAGCCGCAGCCCTTGAGCGCCGGCATAAACCCCCTCGTGCCTGATAGCTGCGCCCTCGTTCCTGGAGACACTCGCTCCACTCGTGCGTCGAAGCTGCGTCGAACGTCCGTCGATTTGAGCCGACCTTGATTCGAACCGAAGTCGAAACTGAGTCGAACTTGAGTCGAACTTGAGCAGAATTTGTGTCGTACCAGAGTCAAACAGATCCGGCAGGTGAGCCTCCAGGTGGTCCCCAAAAAGAGCATCTAACTCAGAGATGACCTCAAGGGGACACCCCAGAGGGTCTCTCTTCGGGGCTTCCGGGCCGTCTTGGAGACCCCAAGAACTGGTGCAGAAGGCCCAACAAAAACATTGAACAACCGTGCGTCGTTCTAAGATTTGCGCATACTCGTCTTTTCAGTCTGCAGACCGCCCAAGACGGCCCAAGGGGCCCCCAGGAAAGCCCCAGGAGGGCCCAAGAGGCCCCAAGAGCGGCCATAGAGGGGGGACTCGAAGTGACGTAACGATGTCCCCCACCTCAAGAGGACCCCCGAGACAGCCAGCAAGCCCCATAGAAGCCCTAAGAGGCCCCCGAGGCTGCCAAGACGTCCAAAGGCCCCCAAGAGGCCCGAAAGAGGCCTCCGAGAGGCCCCCAAAAAAGCTCTCCGAGAGAGTCAAAGAAGCACCTAAGAGTCCCTGTGTCCACGGCCTAGGCATGGTGGCGGGATGGGCCGAAGGCGACAAGGTCCACCGCCTCGCAAGATGCGGAAGGGTGTTGGCGCGCAGCATTTTATCATGTTTGCTGCCCTTCCAGAAGGTTCCGAGTGGGCTCCAGCTTCCAACCAGAATGTGCACAATACTCACCTCCGAGACGGCCAAGATGGCCCAAGATGGCCTCCAAAACAGCCCGAGATGGCCCAAGACGCTTCCCAGACGACGGCCCAAAGATGGCCCCAAGAGGGTCTGGGACGCCATCTGGGGGTCTCTTGGGCCGTCTCAGGGGCCTGCGGGGTCGACCCAAGATGCCAAACTCATTGAAAACCAAGTTGTTGTTCAAGGCTTGTCTGATTTCCCCCCTTCTAAATCATCCAAGCGGCCTCAGAGACCCCCAAGACCGACACCCCAGAAAGGGACCTCAAGACGACCCAAGAAACCCCACCCTGGACCGCCTTGGGCCATCTTGGACCATCTTGGACCGTATTGGATGCCCCTTGGCCATCTGGGAACCGCCAAGGAGGCCGTCTTGAACCGTCTTGGGCAGTCTCGAGCCGTCGAGGAGGCCAATCGTGGCCGTATTGGAGGACGGGCGTTGTGCAGATGCTGGTCGGATTTCTGGACGTTGCCAGCTCAAGAGCGCCCCTTGGAAACAAAGACTGCCAATCAGGGCCCAAAAATTATCCAGAAGGCTCCAGGGGGATCCCAAGAAGCCCAAGAGTGCCTGGAAGTAACTCCAAGACAGCTTCAGGACGTCCTCTCTAGGAGTCGATTCAAAGCACTGTTCGAAGCGTTGTTTGGATATACCACCTGTCACAAGTAACGGTGACCCCCTCCCCTCAGAATGCGGGGTGCGGACAGGATTCGCCGAGGGCATCTTCGATACATAGTCACAAAAAATACCCACGCACACAGGTCCCCGTCTACCATATACGTTATCTATATATATATATATAACTCTCTCTCTCTCTCTCCCTCGTTCTGTATCTCTATATTCCTCTCTCTCTCTCGCTCTCTCTCTCTCTCTCTCTCTCTCCCCTTATCCCACTCTCTCTCTCTCTCTCTCTGTCTCTCTCTCTCTCTCTCGTTCTCCCAAGTTCTCACGCACACTCTCTCCCTCCCTCTGCATATATATATATATATACACATACATACATACATACATACATACATACATACATACATACATACATACATACATACATACATACATACATACATACATACATGTATATAAAGATTCCTCCTTAACACGCTCTTCTTCTGGCTACCCTTTTTCCCCCTCGCCCCCACCCGCCTCTCAACCCAACCCCGCACCTTGCCTTACCCAGAAACGGCTAAACTCCGTTGGCTGGACACAGAGGGCGCAGTGAGGCTGGCAATAAAGCGAAGTTGAGGGCACAGCGCATGGTGCATGAGAGGTTTGGGGGATGGTGGGCTGGGATGAGCGATGGATGCACATACGAAATACGATCTCCAATCCGATCGTTCTTACACTGCTGCAATGAACTGAAAAAAAGAATGACCCTACTCTTTCCCCTCCCTCCGCCCCTCCCTCATTTGTTTCTCCTCACCCTCCAGCCCGACCGATCCGATCGGATCAGAATTACCACGATAGAACAACCGGGACTTCGAAAGCCGTCCAAATCGGGCGATGAAGCAAGCCAACCGCGCACGTGTCAAGTGGGAAGGGGTTGTGACCTTCAAAACGCCATGCAAGGTCTCGTTGGAAATGTTAGGCCTGCAGCGCCGCTCTGCTTGCGTACGGAGCACCGATCCATGGGAGGCACGGGAAAGTCAGCAGAGCTCAATAATATTACATGCGCACCTGGTATGTTACGAAGATTGGCGACGGCAACTTCACGCGGGATGCTGCAAGAAAGGACGGACACTACACAATATATATATATATAGCTATAACATATATATCTATATATATATATAACAGATGTATATATACATTTGCATATGCGTATGACTGCAAATGTGTCTGCTTCTGTATATATATACATACATACATACATACATACAGGTCTATATATCCATATATATATATATATATACGCATATATATATATACAAATGTATATATATATATATATGTGCATGTGTATGTGAGAGAACGCGTTTCACGGGCGCTTGCCTTGGGAACATTCGGCGGCGCGTTTCAAACCGGGGGGTGGGCGCCCCCCCCAACACCCGGCGCCGTCGATCAAAACCAAGGGACTCCCCCCCCAAACCCCCTCCCGAACCCCCCCCCCCCTCCCGGCGGTGAAGGGGGTGGAACCCCCCCCCCCCTTCGGCGCCGGCGCCGGCGCCGCGGCGGCCGCCAGCAGCGCCCACAGCGGGGACGCAGCGACGATGACCAGAGGCAGCTCGGGGGGGGGTCAAAACCCCCCCCCCCTGGCGACAGGAGGAGGGGTTCCAACCCCCCCCCCCCCTGCGCCGGCGCCGGCGGGGACGCAGCGACGACTACCACCACTACCACCACCAGCACCACCACCACTACCACCACCACCACCGCCTCAACCACCACCACCACCACCACCACCAACAGCACCACACACCACCACCACCACCACAGCCACCACCACCACCACCACCACAACTCACCATCACCACCACCACCACAAAAACCCACCACAACTACCACCACCACCACAATCTACCACACCACCACCACCACCGCCACAACCACCACCACTACCGGCAGCACAACCCACCGCCACCACCACAAACCACCACACCACCACCACCGCCGCCACCACCACCACCACAACAAACGTCCACAAACAACCGCCACCACCACAACCCACCACGACCACACCACCACCACCACCACCACAAACCACCACCACACCACCACAACCACCACCACCACCACCACTATTCACCATCACAACCCACCACCACCACAACGACCCACCACCACTACCACCACCACATTCACAATCTACCACACAACCACCACCACCACCGCCACAACCACCACCACTACCAGCAGCACAACCCAACACCACCACCACAAACCACCACACCACCACCACCACCACCACAACCCACCACCACCACCACCACCTCCACAAACCACCGCCACAACCACAACCCTCCACCACCACCACCACAAACCACCACCACACCACCACCAACCACCACCACCACCACACAGCCACAACCACCACCACCACCACCACAAAAACCACCACACCACCACCACACCACCACCACCACCTACCACCACCACCACCACCACCACCACAACCCACCACCACCACCATCGTCCTCGTCGACGCTCCCCGCCACCGCCGCCCGCTGCCGCAGGCGCCGGCCGGCGCTGGCCGAGAAGTGGAAATCGTCGTCCACGCCGCCTTCGCCAGCCGCCGCCGACGCAAGCGCCGGCCCGAGGCGAGGCGAAGCAGGGGGGGAGGGGAGGGGGGGGTTTGAACCCCCCCCCGTCACGGGGGGGAGGGGAGGGGGGTTTGAACCCCCCCCCTCCGTCACGGGAGGGGGGGCGATTCAAACCCCCCCCCTCCATCCAGGGGGTGGGGGGTCCGGTTCCAACCCCCCCCCCCTCCAAGCGACCACAGAACGCGCTCTTTCGCACATGTATATGTATATGTATATGTATATGTATATGTATATGTATATGTATATGTATATGTATATGTATATGTATATGTATATGTATATGTATATGTATATGTATATGTATATGTATATGTATATGTATATGTATATGTATATGTATATGTATATGTATATGTATATGTATATGTATATGTATATGTATATGTATATGTATATGTGCATGTGTATTTATATGTTTATGTATATGTATAGGTATATGTATATATGCGTATATATGTATATGTATATATGTATATGTATGTGATATGTATATGTATATGTAAATGTAAATGAATATGTATATATAGAAGCAGGTGTATGTATATGGATATGTACGTGTTTATGCATATATATATGTGTGTTTGTATATGTATATGTATATGTATATGTATATGTATATGTATATGTATATGTATATGTATATGTATATGTATATGTATATGTATATGTATATGTACATGTATATGTATATGTATGTGTAGATTATGTATATATGTAAATGTGTATGTATATGCATATGTATATGTATATGTCGATGTATATGTATAGTTTGTGTATATGTATATGTATATGTATATGTAACTGTAAATGTAAATGCAGATGTATGCGTATGTTATATGCATGTGTAAATGTATATGTATATGTATATGTATATGTATATGTATATGTACATGTGCATGCGCATGTACACGAACATGTGTATGTGTATGTATGTATACGTGCATGTGAGGGTGGATGTGCATGTGTATATGTATAGGTAGATGTATGTGTATGTGTATATGTATGTGTATATGTATAAGTACATGTATATGTACATGTACATGTACATGGGCATGCACATGTACATGTATATGCATATGCATATGTATACGTATGTGTATGTGTATGTGGATATGTATATGTATGTGTTTATGGATGTGTGTGTAAATATGTATATGTATATGTCTATGTATATGTAGATGGATATGTATATGTACAGGTATATGTATATGTATGTGTATGTGCATATGTAAAATTAAATGTATATGCATATGTGTATGACAGTGTATATGTATATGTATACGTATATGTATATGTATATGTACATGTACATGTAGATATACCTGTACATGTGTGTATGTGTATGTGTATGTGTATGTGTGTGAGTGCGCAAACTAAACTCTTGTGAGCCGCCATGTTGTGAAGATTGCTCCTCAAAAGTGACACCACGAGTACAATTTCAAAGATCCACGGTGAGCTGTACCACCACGCGGTGGCACTGGAAGCAATAGCACTATAGCGATACTGCCGAGACCTGTGGACTCGTCGGAGTCGCAACGTCGGCAAGCGCCCACGTCCGCTCCCCGCTCTTGCAACGATGCGCCCACCACAGGTAGGGCTTGGAAAGGGCATGACAAATAATCTTGGCAAGGGAAGTTGACCGTAGGTACAAAACCACGATGGGCTCAGACGATATTGATTGCAGAAGGCAACCAAAAAGATACGAGTCTCGTCTGAAGGTAACCAATACTCCAAACACAAAAAAGACACGCATCGAGATAGAGAGGGCACACAACCGTGATTTTGCAAGGTCGACCCACCAACCAAACCCGACTGTAAAACACAGCCGGTGCGAATGCGCCTTACTCCCATACCCATTTTTTAAGAGACCTCCCAGATGGGGTCCGAATAGACGGGGTCGGAGGATAGCGCAACATCGCAGTTGTACCGCCGATGCATCGGCGATACATCGGCGACGTCGGTGACGCATCGGCGACGTCGACATGGAGAAAATCGGCATCTACATCGAGCCGCATCGCCGATACATCGGCGATGCGGCACGATCTTCCGACCACATCTGGAACCCCTTTAGGGAAGCCTGGGAATTTCCACTCTTGGCGTGGCGCCTTGCTGGGGCCCATCCGGTCGGTCATGAGCCCTGGGGTGCCGCATCACAGAGCTGCTCGCTCGGGAGGTCCCAGTGACGAGTTTTCCGCCGACTGACTCGCGCCTAGACGTATGCGCGTAAGTACTTTGCGCCGCCAGGATGTCAATGTCCACTGCCGCAGGGCGCGTACTGGGGTCTCGAGAGGCGGATATCTGCCCGCCCACGCGCGGGCGAGCACATATCCTCATCCACCACTCCTCGAAATCGAAGGGCACGGCTTCAAAGCGATGAGTCTGGACATCTTCTAGCGGTGGATACGTGCCGCTGCGGCAGCCGTCAGTCCGCAGGGATGTGAGTCCTCTAGCGGTAACTCGCTCCAGTCTGTATGCCGATAATTCGGGGGTGCCGCAGCGTCCTGAGACTGGAAGAACGATCCCCCACGCGTCGGGGAAGCATACTCGACGTGGAGATCCGAATGCGTGCATCTCATACTCCTGTCGTGTCTCGCTGAGGAAGTGTGTCTGTGGGCACCTGAGAGTGAAAGCGAACCCACGTGGACTACGGGCGCGACAACGACCACGACAGCGACAACCTCCGCGACGTCCTCCTCGTCTGGACATCTTTCTGGGGGGAGATATGGCGGAAACACGAGAGAAAGAGCGAGGGGGGAATCATCTTGCCGTTCTCACTGCGGCAACTCGGGCAAGAGCGCATGGCGTTGCTACTCCCGCACTCTGGCGTGTTGCTCACGGCGGCTACTGACATTTGGTGTGCCCCCGTGCCACGCATGCTACATTGCAGTGGCCACCAATGTGTGAGCATCAGTGTGAATGAATCTGGACGTGAGTGATCTGAGTGTGAGTGAGTCTGAATTTGAGCGAATCCAGGTATGATAGAACCTGAGTGTGAGAGAGTCCGAGTAGTACACTCAGTCGGAGTACGAGTGGCTCTGAGTTTGAGTGAGTCTGAAGGTGAGTAAGTCCGAGTGCGAGTGGGTCTAAGTGTCAGTGAGTCTGAGTGTAAGTGAGTCTGAGTATGAGCTTGATGAACATGAGCCTGAGTATGAGTGAGCCTCGGTACGAGTGAGTCGGGGTATGACTGAGTCTGAGCGTGGGTGAGTCTGAGTGTGAGTGAGTCTGAGTGTGATTTAGTCTGGGTACGAAGGAGTCTGGGTTTGAGTGGGTCTGCGTACGAGTGAGTCGATGAGTGAGTTTAAATACAAGTGAGTCTGGGTTCGGGTGGGTCTGGGAGTGATGAGTGAGTCTGAGTGGGAATGAGGTGCTGATGAGTAACTCTGAGTGTAAATGAGTGCGTCTGGGTGGGGAAGACGAGCAAGAGTAGGAGGAGGAGACGGAGGAGGAGGAGGAGGAGGAGAGTGAGTGAGCAAGCGAGGAGCGCACAAGTCCGAAGAGAAGTCTGGGGGAGCCGAGAACAGGCAAACCGCCTGAGACGTCTCCACGAATTGGGCGCGAGTCCTGGAGTGTCCCCACCGCTGGCGGCTCCCCCCTGGGGGTCCCCAAATGCGACGCCTGCTGTATCGCGGTGAGCAGGGGACCACCAGACGAGCGAAGTCTTGCGGGACAGAAACAAGCAAACCGCCTGAGACATCACCACGATCTGGCCGCGAACGGGCTGGTGAGATACCTCCAGGCGGCTCCGCCTCGGAGTGCCCAAATGATACGCCTGCGATGTCGCGATGAGCAGTGGACCACCAAAAGAGAGCAAACGAGCAAACCGAGCAACGAGCAAACCGCCTGAGACCTCCCCACAATCTGAGCGCGAACAGGCCCGTGAAATGGGTTTGGGGGGGGCACAACTCCCACCCGCAAGCCTGCGTTTTTACTATGGCGCTGCTATGCGCTCTCTCTCTCTCTCTCTCTCTCTCTCTTTGTGTTGTTTCTCTCTCTCCCCCTCTCCCTATCTCGATCCCTCTCTCTTTCTCCTATTTCGTCTCTTCCTCATCATCCTTCTCCTCCCTCTCCTCCACGTACTTCGTCTCCTCCTCCTTCTTCCAATCCCCATTCCTCCGCATCACAATCCAAAATCTGCGTAATCATTCTCGTCCTTCTCCTCCAGGTCCTTCGTCTCCTCCTCGTCCTCCTCTCCTCCGTCCCCTCCTCCTCCTCATCCTCATCTTCCCTCGTCTCCTCATTCGCCTATTCCGTCGCTTCCTCATTCCAAAGAAGTGCCAGAGGAACCATCGAGCAAGCAGGAGGAGGGGGACGTTGAGGAGTCACTCAGAAAGGTAAGGACGAGGAGGACACCAAGGAAAAGAAGAAGGACGATAAGAATTAAGCAGATACTTGATGGCGATGCGGAGGAGTGGAGGCGGGAAGGAAGAGGAGACGTAGTAGGAAGAAGAGGAGGAGGCGAAAGAAGAGGGAGAAAGAGAGAGAGAGGATAAAGGGAGCGGAGCGCGAAAAAGGTAGATCCAAAAAAACGCTGGTGGGAAATCTGCCCCCCAACCCCCGTGAAACTCCGCCTGGCGGCTGCCCCCTGGGGTACCCGAATGTCACGCTGGGTATTTCGCGGTGAACAGTGGACCATCAAGAGAAAAATCTTGGGGGCTGAAACAGGCGAACCGCCCGAGACGTCCCCACAATCTGGCCGCGAACGGGCCCGTGCAATACTCCCTGGCGGCTCCCCCTTCGGAGTGCTGACCACAGCGCCTCGCCTGAGACATTCTCACAATCTGCTCCGAAAGCAGACGATGTTGCAAGCCGAAACAGCCAAACCGCCTCAGACGGAGGTCTGCTAGATCGCGATGACCAGTGGACCAAGTGAGTGTGAGTGTGAGTGAGTCTGAGAGTAAGTGAGTATGAGTGTGAGTGAGTCTGAATGAATATGAGTGAGTATGACTGAGTCTGGGTATGAGTGGGACTGAGTGGGTCTGAATGAGTCTGCATGTGAGAATTTATTTGAATGATTCTGAGTAAATCTGACTGAGAAAGTCTGAAAATCAGTGAATATGAGTGTGAGTGAGTCTGAATGAGTCTGAGTGCGTCTGAGTGAGTCTGAGCGGATCTGGATATGGGTGGGACTGACTGAGTCTGACTGAGTCTGCATGTGTGGTTTGATTCGAGTGAGTCTGAGTGGGTAAGTCCGAGTGAGTGCGTATGAGAGCGAATGACTCCGAGTGTGTGAGTCTGAGTGCGAATCTGAGCTGAGTGCAATGGAGTCTGAGTATGAATGGTGCCGAGTATGAATGGGTATGACTGCAATGTGAGGGAGGGACGTAGAGGAGTGACGTGAGTATGAGTTTGGTGTGAGTGATATGAGCATGGGTATCTGAATGATAGAGTGCTAGGAGTGGAAGAAAAATAGGAGGAGGAGCAAGGTCCGGAGGCTTCTAAGTAATAACATGAACTCCGTCTTAGGATGTATAGGCCTCCTAGATGGGGTCGGAATAGAGAGGATCGGAGGATCGCACCGCATCGCCGATACATCACCGATACATCGGCGATGTATCGGCGACGCATCGACGATGCACTGGCGATGCATCGCGAACGTCGGTGATGCATCGGCGACGTCGACGTGAAGCAAATCGGGTTCCCCATCGACACGAATCGGCGATGCATCGGGGATGCGTTGCGATCCTCCGACCCCATCTACTCGGACCCCATCTAGGAGGCCTAGCGGATATGGGAAACAAGATGCAATTCTGTATCAATTCTGGGCTCTGGTGGCCCACACCGAACCACGGGAACCATCGAAAAACAACTCGGGGAAGGGACCCAGACCTCCGAGGGCCCACGTTTTGACAAAAACTTGTTCCGTCGGCGGCAAGGCAGAGGCAGTCCGCACCAGCGTGGGGCTAATCTGGGCAACCTATAGGCAAAGTGTCGGGCGTGCAAGAGAGAGAGGCGAAGACGAGGCAACTCTTGACAAAAACGCGACGTCGAGGGGTTGGGGGAAAGCAGGATTCTAGAATTTCAGACTGGCCTCGCGCGCGCCGGCGACGGGGCACGAAGTCCGACAACAACAACAACAACAACAACAACAACAACAACAGCAACAACAACAACAACAACAACAACAACAACAACAACAACAACAACAACAACAACAACAACGACGACGACGACGACGACGACGACGACGACGGCGACGAAGATCAGAACAAAAAATGACGACGACGACGACGACGAAGATCAGCGACGGGGGCGAGAACAACAAAACCACACGACGACGACGACGACACAAGCAAGAAGGTTAGGAACCGGTAAGAAGGGCGAGCAGGTCATATCAGCACACTCGACATGGAGGCACCAAAAGTGGGGGTGGAGCCTAAAGAGAAAATGCTGTCCGAGAAGGGCAGCAGCCGCTGCTGGCCGGTTGATGCTGGCCACTCGGACCGCGATCGTCCTGATACCGACAGCGAGCCGTGTCCGAAACCAACAGACACTGGTGTCCCGTCCGTCCCCATTTCCCTTCCGTCCCCAATCCCTTCCGTTGAGGGGCAGCGTCGGGGGGGGGACTGGCTCAGGGGGGGGGGGGAACATCGAGCCAGAATCGGCGATACCGCCGATAGCGATAGGCCACGTCAGGGGGGGACTGCCTCAAGGAGGAAACATCGAGCCAGAATCGGCGATACACCGCGAATTGACTGGCGACAGGCCCCCGCGATCGGGGGTCGATGCATCCCCCCGCCCTGCCCGTCCCAACGTTACCCCTGATCCGCCCCCAGTACAGTCGAGGTCGATTGGAGAGGACAGGCGAGGGGACACAAGACCCTTCCGAGGCCGCATGCCGAATAAGTGGTCGCTGGCCGCGGATCATGTTGGAGGACTCCCAAGCATTCATTGCCCAGTCAACATCAAGCCCCTGACATTGTTTAAATTACTTTCTAACTTGCATGTCCGGCTGGTCCTGACAGAGGTGGCAGCACACGAAGAGGCAAGTGCTTCTCTATGCAGACACCGACCTGTTTCCATGTACACCATGAGCCCCAACTACAAAAAACGCAGCAGCTTGGATATACGGAATCATGGCACCAACTAACAGATGGCGGAGGCCTCCGAATCGCGAAATGAAATAGAACTGACGCCATGCAATCGTGTGCCAAATGCATCACGTCAAGTTGTACGGTGATATATGACGCGTGCGTGTGCAACAGGATTATGCATGCTCCCTCCTTGTGAAGAAGCGATGCCAATTCAAAAATGAGCAGGGCACTTGGAACACCTGCATAATTAATTAGCCCCACTCAACATACGTGACGGGCACATTGATACAGCAGCAACGGCAGGATGCGAGTTGCTCAAACGAATGAGAAGCGGAGGGACGGGCGCTCGAATCAGGCAAGCGTGTATCGCTTACGTGTTGCGGGTAGGATCGCGGCCACGCAAGCGTCAGACCTGTAGTTGTGACAGGATGTCCAGCTTATCAGGCTTGTGAATTGCGGTAGCCTCCACTGCTTGCTTGTGAAGAAGCGTTGGCAACAAATCGACTTTCAGCCCAATTGTTTCTGCGAGCCCTTGGTCATCAAGACAGAAAGCAGGCAAGCTCTTCTCGGGCCACAAACTCTTCACGAGTATCGCAAGGAGACATATATGAACGGCATTAGTCAGTAAATGCACAACCCGTACTTGAACCCATGGCGACACGAAGTCCGTCGACCCCTGCTTGAGGGATGTGACAAGCGTATGGGCTCTTTGACTGTCAACGCCCAATGTTACCCTCACCTGGGCTGAACACCAATTTTGAAGCGGCGGACATGGAGAGGCCCCCCAAGCTCTCCAGCACCCCCCGGGAGATGCAAGAATCTCTGAAAGGTGTCCACCCGGCCCACATCGTCCAGATCGCCGAAGATAATTCCCATGTCCTCCGAGAGAAAACCCCCTGACTGCCCAAGATGACCTCCACGATCGCCCAGGTGCGCCCCGTGTTGGCTCCACGACGCTCTTGGCGCTGCTCGCCTTCCTTGTCATCTCCTGCTCCCTGCCTTCCCTGCCGCATTCGCTCCCGCTCCGCGCGCAAGGAGCCAGAAGCGCCCACCAAGCGCCCCAAAACACCGGCCTACCACCGGCGCGCACTGGGCCCCGAGGCCCCGCGGCCAGCCGGCAGCGACGACCAAAGGACTGGACGCAAGGAGAAGGACTGGAGGACGTGGTACACGGCAGCGTGAAACGGCGCAGCCAACTGATCGGAAGCACACACAAGCAACGGAGCGAGCTCCAGACGCCCCCCCCCAAAAAAGAACCACTCTTCTGGCGTTGTGAAGCTTCTTACGGGGACAAGCGCTAAGAGAATGGCTTCCAACACGCCGAGTTCAAGACGGTTGGAAAACGCGCAGGGCAGATGTAAGAGCGCGTTTCTTTATGTTTGGCGATGACGGGCGTCATGGGGGGGGGGGAGGGCGGGGGGGGGTGTGACGTGACGCCCCCCCCCCACCGAGTGGCTCCGGCACCACAGCCGCGCCCGCGCGCACGACGCGACAAGCGACGAGCGACGAGCGACGACGACGACGCGAGCAGCATGTAAGTGGCGATCTGCCCATTGCGCCTGTGTACACCACAACGCTCGCGTGCACTACACCGCGCGTGTGCACAACAGCGCCTGCATACACCGCAACAGCCGTGTGCAACGCACCGCCCGTGTATACCACAATACTTGGGAGCACTACAGCGCCGGTGCACATACACCGCAGCAGCCATGTGCAACACAACGCCTGTGTACACCACAGTGCTTGCATGCACCGCAGCGCCTGTGCACGCCACAGCGCCTGTCTACACCACAGCACCCGCGTGCAACGCAGCGCTGGTGTACACCACAGTGCCTGCGTGCATAGGACAGGTAGAAGGAGCATGTACGTCAGGATCTGCTGCGGACAACTAAACGCCACGCCAGGAAAGTTCTGAGAATCGAATGCGACGTTTTTCCCTCCTCCCTCCTCCTCCTCCTCCTCCTCCTCCTCCTCCTCCTCCTCCTCCTCCTCCTCCTCCTCCTCCTCCTCCTCCTCTTCCTTCTTTTCCTCCTTCTTACCCCCTGTCGTGCGTCTTGGCGTTACAACGTACGTGCGCATCTCAGCGTGCACCGCAGAATGGTCGATTGAATCGGTCAACTTGGTTCTCGGACGGCCAGTTTAGCTGGAGCCTCCTGGACGCAAATGAGAGTTAGGGTGATGCGGGCGGACTCGGGGGGACTCGTAGATTCCAGCGGCGTTCCTTTGTCCATGAGGATTTGTTTTCCATTGTTTTCTCTGGAATCCACACGCGCTCCATTTTGTCACAAAGATCCCTTTTGAAATTCTATACACAACAATGGTGCTGTGTTGCACACGGCTGATGTGGTGCACACAGGCGCCGTGGCGTACACAGGCACTGCAATGCACGCAGCCATTGTGGTGTACACTGGTGCTGTGTCGCGCACGGCCGATGTGGGGTACGGAGGCGCTGTGGTGTACGCCAAAGCTCCTGTGCCCGCAGGCACGGTGGCACAAACTGACGCTGTGTTGCACGCGGCTGCTGTGGTGTACATCGGCGGTGTGGTGTACACAGGCGCTGCAGTGCACGCGGGCACTGTGATGTACACAGGCGTTGTGGTGCATATCGCCACATACATGTTCGTGCTACCCGTCCTCCGTCATTCCAAAGCATTCCCAGACGCCGCCAGCGCGAAACGTGACGTCATCGACCCCCTCCCCCCCCAGATGATTGCCGTCATCGGCCCGGACTAAAAAACAGGCTCCAGCCGCGTCCGCGCGCACGACGACGATGAGCGACGAGCGACGAACCACGACGACGACGACGACGACGACGACGACGACGACGACGACGACGACGCCTGCGGACCAGACACCTATGCGGATTCCTACGCGGACACCTACGCGGATCCCAATGCGCACGGCGGCAGTGCCCGGAGCGCACTGGGGGGGGGAGCGTTACGTCATCGGGGGGGGGGGGGAGCGGGGGCCATGACGCCCGTTATGCCCCAAGCAATAAAGAAACGGGCTCTAAGAAGAACCAAGCCCTTGGGGTGCTGACAACAGCGCCTCGCTCGAAACATCCTCCACGAAAAGAGCAAAGTGCCTGAGAGATCTTCACAATTTGGCCGCGAACGGGACCGTGCAACACCCCCACGCGGCCCCCCTCACAGGGTACTAGAACAAGCGCCTCGTTCGGGACATCCTCACGAACTGCAATGATATGATTGAGGAGTTCCAGCCGCGAAACCCTCAAACCGCCTGAGACATCCCGCAATCTGGCCGCGAACGGGCCCGTGCCACACCCCTAAGCGCCGCCCCCCCCCACCCACCCACACTGGGTTGCTACAACAACAGTTTAGCTCGGGACATCCACACGATCTGATCTGAAAGCAAACGGGTCCCAGCAACGGAACAAGCAAACCACCTGAGACATCCCCACAATCTGGCCGCGAACTGGCGAATGCAACACCCCCTGGCGGCTCCCCCTTGGGGTGCCAACGCAAGCGCCTCGCTTGGGGACATCCCCACGAACTGCTCTGAAAACCCAAAAATCCAAGCCACGAAACAAGCAAACCGCTTAAGGCATCCCCAGAATCTGGACGCGAAAACGCCCGTGGTGCAACACCCATGACCGGGCAATCGGCGAGCCAATCAGCCAACCAACCCACCAACCAACCAGTCCTTCAAGGGGGAAGTGTTAAGGATGTCCCACACGGCGGGCCCCTCTTTTCTTTTACGGTTAAACACCAAAACAAACAAGAACAAAACAATGTGTTGGACCCCGACATTTAGAACAAATGCCCTGAAAGAAACATGTGTCTTAATCCTTCTCCCCAGGAGATTCCTACACCGCTCAACAGGGCCTCCAAAAAGCTCTGGAACTGTCCCCAAACACTCGGACACATGAGCGCCGATCATTCCTTCTGGAAAAGCTCAAAACGTGCCTCCATTGTTCGCCTTCTCGTCTCTTGATGTAAACAGTTGCTGCTGATCCCAGTTGCTGCACCGACTTCAGGTTCAAGCTTCGCCTCCCCAACCTGTCCTTGTTCATCATCTTCCTCCTCAGATGTGTGAGGGGGTCGGTGGAATGGCGCAAGTCTCTAGAATATGCAACTATGACGGCCACTGGGAGTATTCCGAAAGCTATTCCATACATTGGACCCCACGTTGCGAAAAATCTGCGCTTAACGGTGTCAGTCTCTGAGGTGAACGATCGGCGCAAATTGTGTGCGTAGACTGTCAACAAGCCCACGTCGAGCAGCACCAGCACTGCCCCGTACCGGGAACAGAACAAAGAATCGTTGGTGTATTTGCGATACTGCGCATACTCGCCATTCAGATCCAGGATGAAACATCCAACAAATAAAGGAGCTAGAAGAGAGCATGCCCCGATAACGTGACGCTTTTGCAGTGGATGCGAAATGGCATGTCCCCTCGAGATCAGCATGATCGCGCAAATCAGCAACAGCTTAGAAGTCCACTTAGACAGCTTGCCTGCTACGTAGAGCAACTGGAGCTGAGAGCCATGCTGGGCAATGGTATTGGCGTTCAGGAGTTGCAGCAGTGCCCCAACCGCCGCGACCGAAATGGAACCGAGCAAACATACTCGCAGGGGGTGCTTCGTGCTGTCGCAGTTGCCCCGAACGCTAACGTACACCTGGACAGACAAGACAGCGAAGTACAAACCGCAGGCCCCCTTGTGGGGCCACCAGGCTGTAGGACCAAGGTTTGCTGATCCCTGCGCGAGTTCCAGTTTCCAGTTTCCATTGTTACAGTTCTGCTTTTTGCTGCTTACTGTTCCTTGTTGATGGACCGCGCGAAAGGGGGGGGAGCCGAGAAAGAACCTAGTTACCACGCCCGAGTCGCGTTGTCTGAAACCCTGGGGGGGGCGTGGGACACGTAAACATACATCAAATTCGCGCCCCCGAGGCCATAAACCCTCGTAAATGATTCAAGATTCGCGTCCCCGAGGTCATAAACCCTCGCAAATAACATTGTATTCGCGTACCCGAAGCCATAAACCCTAACAAAATACGCCATCTTCGTGTCCCCGAATCCATCAACTCTTATACATTACGCAATAATTGCGTCCCCGAGGCCACAGACGCTCGTAAATCATACGATATTCGCGTCCCCGAGACCATACACCCTTGTAAATTAAGCGATATTCGCATCTCCGAAGCCATAAACTTGGGTAAATGACGCAATAGTTGCAACCCCGAAGCCATAAACTCTCGCAAATTAACAACACCTACTACGTTAAGCGAAGCCACGCGTGCACTAAACGGAGAGGGAGGAAGAGGAGGAGGAAGGAAGACGAGGACGGGGGAAGGACAATGAAGATATCTTTCAATGGCAAAGCGGCCACGCGCACCACCCTGAAGGCGCGGGTCCGGCGGGACGCCGCGCCGCCCGCGCGCGCGCCCAGTGGCGCGCGCGCGTTCTGGCACGCCCTGCTGCCGCACGGCTCTGGTGCCGAGCGGAGCAGGGCGCACAGGGAGCGAAGCGGGGTGGGTGGGCACCCGAGTCCTGGCTCGAACTCGAGCCAACGACTACGGACCCAAAATGGCTATGGCAAAGCCCCCGCTTCCCTACGCTTAACCTGCAGTCTACCAACATCACAGACTATACAAGTTAAGCGAAGCCACGCGTGCACTAAACGGAGAGGGAGGAAGAGGAGGAGGAAGGAAGACGAGGACGGGGGAAGGACAATGAAGATATCTTTCAATGGCAAAGCGGCCACGCGCACCACCCTGAAGGCGCGGGTCCGGCGGGACGCCGCGCCGCCCGCGCGCGCGCCCAGTGGCGCGCGCGCGTTCTGGCACGCCCTGCTGCCGCACGGCCAAAACCAAAAGAACGCAGCCGCGCGCGGGCGAAGGACGCCCGGGCGCGCGACCACTGGCCTGCAAGCCTGAGGCCTTCCTGGAGCGGGCGCCAGGCCGCCCCGGCTGGGCAGCGCCCCGCCGGCGGCGTGCAACGCGCGCCCGGGCTGGCCCCTACGGCCTCGCCCAGGCGTGGGGGGGCTAAACGCTCCCCAGGGCCGCGCGCCGCCGGCCCGCCGGCGCGGGATCGCGCCCGCGAAAGGCGCTAGCCGCGCGCGTCGCGCCGGACGCGACATAGAACACGCAGAGAGCGAGCGCGCGCGTGCGAAAGCACACGCGCGAGCTGGAGGTGCAAGCTGGCTGCAGCCCAGAGGACGCCACGTGGCCCGAGCAGCCCGTCGCTCCCCCCGGTCCTCCTCCTTCTAATCCCCGTCGTCGGGCGGTTCCCCTGTGGCGGTCAGCGCGCGGCCCTCGATGCCCCATGCTGCCGGCGAACATGTCAACGTAGGTCGATCCGCTCGCCCCCGTCGTCGCGCCCCTCGGCATCCTCGTCGAGTAGGCCCTCGGCTGCCAGCTGCACCTCGACCAGGCCCTCCCGACACCAGGCGGCGTCGCCAGGCAGCTGGCGCAAACGGCCTCGCCGTCCGCCCCGCGGCCCTCAGCGGGCCCCCGGGTCGACTGTCGCGGGATCCGTAAAAGGCAAGCAACGCACCCGGTATGAGCGAGCAAGTGATGCGAGCAACGTAGCCACTGCTCCCTCGCTCGAGCTCGCCCAGCGGCCGCAAGTACTGCGCCACTGCGTCGTTGAACACTGCAATGCCCGTGAGCACCGGCATGTCGTCGAGCACCCGAGCGCCCTTGCAGCTGCGCACGCCCTTGAACACAAACACGTCGCCGATCAGCGCGCCGTCGAGCGCAGGCACGCTCGTGACCTCGTGCGTGCCCCGGGAACTGAGCGCGCGTGTGAACACGACCACATCCCCGTGGCCCTCGACGAAGAGCAGGTTTGCCGCCGTGACTGCGCCCCTGAGGCTGGTCCCCTCGCGGCCGGGCCCAGCTGGGCCCTGTCTCACGGACGAACATACCTTCGCCGCTGGAACCTCGCCCCAAGGGCTGGTCCCCTCGCGGCCTGGCCCAATATCGGCGTGGCCATCCACCAACAGGCCGCCCGCCGCTGGAACCCCGCCCCATGGGCGTGTCCCTCCACGGCCGGGCCCGGCAGGGCCATGTCCCGCGGTAGACTGCGGGTTGTCGCAGGCGGCTGCGGATAAGGTAATACAAACGAAGCACGCCCACTGCAAGTACGGCCCCTCCGGGAGTACCATCACGCAGTGGGGAATGCCAAGAACGTCCGGGAACACCGTCGCGCCGTTGGCCACAGGCACGCCCGTGCGCACCTGCATGCCGTCGAGCCTCGGGAAGCTCGTGACCTCGAGCGCGCCCTGGGGCAGGAGCGCGGCCGTGAGCCGGACCACCGTGCGCATCTGCATGCCGTCGAGCCTCGACAAGCTCGTGACCTCGAGCGCGCCCTGGGGCAGGAGCGCGGCCGCGAACCGGACCACGTCCTTGAGCACCGCGCTGTGGAGCAGAGCTTCGCCCCCAAGCGCGCGCGCGTTGTTGAGCACCGGCGCACCTGTGAGGACCCACCTGCCATAGACCAAGGGTGGAACGGCCGCTGGGACTTCGCTCCTTGGGCTGATCCCCTCGCAGCCGGGCCAAGCGGACCCCTGTCCCGCGGCCGACGCTTGCCAGTCGGGTCTGGCCGGGAGGGCGAGCACGACCACGCCATCGAACGCGACCATCAGCAAGATGGGCCCACGCGAGCCAGTGAACGCAAGCGCAAGTAGCCGTACCTCGCGGGGCGGGGTCGCCATGGCGGGCCTCCCGCCCGGTGGCTGCCCGGGGCGGGTCAGCGCGCCACGGCGTTCCAGGGCGCCCACGAGCATCGATGTGACGTCGAGCACCTGGGCATCCCCGGCCTGGAGCACGCCCTTGAGTACGACCACGTTCTCCGACTCTGACTTTGCCGGCGGGCAGTCCAGGCCGACCGCTGGAAACGTAACCCCATCCCCATGCGACTCCAGATAAGATGGTGGGTCTGCCGCGGGGACTTCGCCCATGCGGGCTGCCCCCCTCGCGGTAGGAGCGGTGGCTGCGACCTGCCGGACCTGGGCGGCATCGGTCTTCCGCGGCATGCCGTGCCCGATCGCGGGGATGCAATGCTCCGCGCCGAAGGCAGTGCGGGCGCTGGCCCCAGCGTAGACGGCCACGTCGATGCCGGCGCCGGTGTTCGTCTCTGCGCTGGTTTTGGCGTCGGCGCAAGCGCCCGGGTCAGCGTCGGCGCCGGCGCTGGCGTCGTCGCTGCTGTCGCTGTCGGCGTAGGCGGTGACATTGGCACCGACGTCGGCGCTGGCGTCGGCGGTGGCGTAGGTGGAGTCGCCCTCGCGGCAGTCCTCGCAGCTCGGCAGGCGCGGAGAGACCCGCAACGGTGGCGGCGTGGGCTGCTGCGGCGCCCCGGCTGGGCAAGCCCCGTCGGTAGCGTGCGGCACGCGCCCGAGCTGGCCCCCACGGCCTCGCTCAGGCAGGGGGCAGACGCACCCCGACCGCACGGCGCCGGCCCGCCGGCGCGGAGCCGCACCCGCGAAGGGCCCGCGACGCGCGCGTCGCGCTAAGCGCGTCCGAAAGTCGGGCGGGCAGCGCGCGCGCGCGAGAATGCCCGCGTGAGCGGCACGGAGCCTGCGGGGCCAAACGCGCGCGCGCGGAAGCGTGGTGCCGGTGAGCCAGTCCAGATCGCCCGTGCTGGCTACGGCGCCAAAGTCGGAGCTGGCGGCGGCGCTAGCGTCGGTGCTGGCCGCGGCGTTCGCGGTCGCGAAGGCGGCAGCGCCTGCCTCGGCGTCGGCGCGGGCGTCGGCGCTGGCGCTGATGTTGGCGCGGGCCGTGATGCTGAAGCCGGCCTTGGCGCTGGCGTCGATGCTGGTGCCGAGTCCCACGTCGGAGATCCTGGCGCCAGGCCTGGACCAGTCCACGGCCCAGACCTCGCCGGCCTCTGTGCGGGCGATGGGGAAAGCGTCGGTGCTGGCACCTGCACCGGCAGCCGAGAAGGCAACGGCGCCCGCGCGGGCCTCGCAGCCGATGGCGTTGATGCCGGCGTCGGCGGTGACGTTGGTAGCGTCGGCGCGGGCGCCTGCGGTCGCGGCGGCGGAAGCGGCAACGTCATCATAGGCCTCGCCGTCGGCGTCTGCGCTGGCGTCGTCGCTGGCGTTGATGTCGGCGTAGGCGGGGGCATTGGGGGTGTCGGCGCTGGCGTCGCAGGACGCGGCCCCGGTGCCAGCCCGCGCATCGGCAACGATGTCGGCGTCGGCGCTGGCGTCGGCGCTGATGCTGGCGCAGGCGTTGGCGACGGCGTTGACGACGGTGGCGGCGTCGGTGCTGGGAACGGCGCCCTCTTCAGGGCCCGCGGCGCCGAGCCTGACCCAGACCATGTCCCAGACCCCATCGGCCTCTACGTCCGTCTCGGCCCCGTCCGACCCCGCGCCCCTTCTCGAGCCCTCGATGTTGCTCACGAACTCCAGCCCCTCGATGATGGCGCCTGCGCTGGTCTCGGCGCCTGCGCGGGCGCCCGCGTCAGCGTTGGCGCCGGCGCAGGCCTCGTCGCTGCCGTCGCTATCGGCGTAGGCGGTGACGTTGGCGTCGACGTCGGCGCTGGCGTCGGCGGCGGCGGCGATGGAGATGCCCTCGCGGCAGGCCTCGCAGTCCGGCCGGCGCGGAGCGGCCCGCAGCGGTGGCGGCGAGGGCTGCTGCGGCGCCCTGGCTGGGCAAGCCCCGCCGGCAGCGCGCGGCATGCGCCCGAGCTGGCCCCCGCGGCCTCGCTCCG